CTACACTATTACAATGGTTCCTATATATTGACTAATCAATCAAGGTTACAAGGTGTTAACACCACATAGTACAGTATTATAATACTGTCGCTGTTTATTTAGGTTGCCAAGTGATTATTATGTAATCATATTTCAATGTTCAAATGATTTTTTTAAAATTTCGATTCATGTTCAAGGCATTGAGACTCAATCCTATAAACTAACGTGAGTGGTAACCCGGAGTGGTAGAGATCGGGCTAATCACTCACTCGACCGATATCCACAAATTGATTATGAAGTCCACAAAGAATCACAGCACAATTACTCTTGGATTGAAAAACGACAAAAGTCCACGAAAGTGGTGTATGGAATGTAGAGGGTCGCCTACTATGGGACAAACTCCAACCGATTACAAAAACAGCTATTCTAGCCCCAATAGTTGTGTCGCGCTTCGATATGGCCTGTTTCTCTTCAGAAGGGGCTAGTAGGCTTCACCAACTTGTTTTGTTGGAAGAGGGGGAGGTTCAAGGCAAATGAGAATGACAGAAATTCACCAATATTGATCTTTTTTATGTGTTTTAATAAACTTGGAATTTATATTCACATTAATAAACTTATGATCGTCATTGTTGTTACTTTTATCATTTTTTAATGGTTGGATTCATGAATCAGTCTACGCTAGACCATCATTGAAAACCTGTATGAGATGGATGGTCATTTCGTCCCAGTATGCCGAGAGTGGGGAAAGTCAGCTCTCCCTCTTGAAATGCTCTCCCATGGCCACGTTCACACAACCACTGACAGGGAAATCCTACTCACTGCCATTTCGTGATATTAGAAGGAGCAACAAATTTTAGAACAATTTTGAAACTCAAAACTCAAGAGAAGACCAAAAGTGGGACATGTAATCAAATTATGGATACTTTTTTTTGAATATCTAAGATGTAAATGATTTGGATACATATTTTTATAAACTATATCAATATCAAGCTTTCTATCTTTTTAATGTACACACATTTTGTGTGTATATAGTGTGTGCTACTTGTACAGGCACATATAAGTAGTATGTATTAAGAATTGGAGGTACGATTCTTAACAAAAAAACGGAAATATGAAGAGAAGACACAGAAAAACAGAAGCAGTCTGAGTAACAACAGTAATGGAAGAACATCAAGTTTGTAAGGGACAATTCAAGGAAGATATGCAAATGATGTATTGAATGTATTGTTTTCATCATTTACAAAAATAAATTGTATAGTATCACATACCTCATCTAAGTCTTTGTTCATTACACTTACGTATAAATTTGAATATACTAAGCTTATTCGTCTGAGCATCATTGAAGATTAAGTGGTGAAGTGTCTCATAAATCCATACAATATTCTGTATGAATATCATTACCATCAACCTTGCTCGATGTTTCATCTGGAAATGGAATCGTTTGTGCAAGATGTACACAAGTTATCATATCATATTCTACACAAAATGACAAATGAATTCATTTTTGTATTGATTGTTTGAATCTTCGCATTGATGTTTAAGACTGTAATGGATAAGTCTCTTATTATTAAAGTGAACCGTACTGGGCTCGAGTTCTCGAGTGAAAATCAACTCTGGGATTCAAATACATTCGGCTGAAGAGTCTCAAGTGGGACCAAACGCGAGTCATGGATTCTATTGCCAGCCACTATCTATCTCTGCTTATAAGGCGACAAATTGTGTTACAAATCATGCTATACTACTCGTATAGTTTTCTTAAAATATTTGTTGGCTTAGATATTTAACCAGATAAGAAAGAAATATTGAACATCACACACAATTTTTATCCAATACTCATGCAAACGTTCAACTAGATAAACAAAAAATATTGTGGTGTGTGCTACTAATGTCGATAGATATAAGTAGTATGTGTATCGCTAATAGAAAGTGAAATGCTTGGAGGCAGATGATTAAGAAGATCGAAGAAAAGTGGATGAGAACAAAGAACGATTGGGGTAGAAACGAATAAATAATGAAGTGGGAGACAATTGGTTGACATTTTGAAAATGAAGTACTTACTGTATGATTCTCAGATTTTACTAAGGGATTTTGTAACTTTGTTCACTACAATTATCCCAAACATATTTCATAAATATAAGTATGAATATTGGCTAGCAGTGAAATTGGGTACACTCATTTCGACCTCTTTTGTACCTGTCAGCTGGATATACCTGCATCCCAATAGTCAATACTCACTACGGGACTCGAATCTAGTATCTTTACTATCAAGCTACCCGTTCTCGAACTTATCCAATGGAATAAATTTTATGATCGAAATTCAGTTCTTAACATCAACAATTACATTAGCTGAAATTATTAATATAGGTACTCATATTGTGGCGTGTACTACTGATGTCGACAGATATAAGTAGTATGTGTATAATTAATCGAAAGTGAAATGCTTGGAGGTAGATGGTTAAGAAGATCGAAGAAAAGAGAATGAGAAGAGAGAATGAACACGAACGAACAATGAAGTGTAAGACGATTGAGTGACATTTAGCAAATGAAGTATTGTATTGTATAGTTCTTAAATTGTACTAAGACATTCTACAATTGTATGTTCAAGTACATTTGGTTGTCCCCCCTTGTTTGTTCTCATTCACTACAATATTACTAATTTGTCATTAAAAAAACATCATTCAAGAACATTCCAGTAAACAATGGTTTAATTAAACCACAATGATTCATGAAAACAATATTCTGTTCATTTGCACTGTAACATACATATACATAGTTACTAAAATCAAGATAACTCATTGTGTTACTAATGACTAATACTTATGTGAGGTTGATTGTATAAACACGATGGTGCCAAATACTTAAACAACATCACGTTAGCTTACACTATTAAATCAAAATTCACTGGTCTTTATATATACGGAGTGTGTGTGTGTGTGTGTGTGTGTGTGAATTTCTAGTTTGCACAATCAACCCACATAGTACTAGTCATCATTGAACATTGAATGACCTTCATTAAAAAAAACACTAAAAGTTCAAATCATTGAAAAAAAAACTTTACTAAAAGTTAACGTTCTACATTCATTGTTATCAATTAGATTCATCAGTTTCATAAACTAAGAAAACGATATCGTTATATAACTTTGTTGTGATTCATTAGAGTGCAGATAACTGATGAATCATAATCAGAAAGGGGTTTCATGGATATTATCATAGATGAATAGTTGAATTCATGAGTCAGTGGAACCTAGTCTATCAAGGAATACCTGGAAGTACTGGACGATCATTTTATCTTAGTATGAAACTCCTCAGTAGTGCGCATCCACGATCTCGCCTCGCGAGATTCGAATCCAGGACCTATCATTCCATACAAAAACGAAACAGTCGTCTAGTGCTTGCAGATTTTCTATGGTGATCTAGATTCAATTGACTCATGAATCCAACTATTGGACTGATGAATCACTGTTTCTAGTTAAACATTTTCAACATTATTAATCATAATTTCTTAGTGAAAATTTCAAAGAATTCATAGCACTAATAAACAGAAGATTGTAATGAAGGTGAATCTGTTAAAGTTGTGTTATATGACACAAGTTAAGAGAAGATGGTAGGTAAAAGTCGTTTAAGCTTGAATTAGTAGCTTGACGATATGAGTATGGGTTTGGACTATAGATCAGTTTCAGTCTAAGATAAAATAGATGTCAAATAATCTAATAGTTGAATTCATGAATCAATTGAAGTTAGATCACTATGGAAAACCTGAAAGCACTGGAAGGCCGTTTCGTCCTATTGTGGAACGCCACAGCAGTGTGCGTCCACCATCTCCCCCCTGCGAGATCCGAACCCAGAACCTACTGGTTTCGCGCGCGAGCACTTAACCACTAGACCACTGAGCCGGCATCCGACAGTGTTAATGTCTAACTTCCACGAATCCACGAAACTGAGCGACACATCCACTATTGTCTTCAGTGAGTTACTATCTGAAAACAGACCTGGTTGAACTCCGCTGGTCATTACTTCTCACTAGAACTCCAGGATATACTTCTTGAAGCCAGTCACTAATGAGCATGTATTGATTCATATCAGAAGGGGTTTTTGTGGATATTATAGTAATTTCAATGGTCCCACAATAGGACGAAACGGTCGTTCAGTGCTTCCAGGTTTTCCATGATGGTCTAGCTTCAACTGACTCGTGACGTTAACCATTGAAATAATTTTAATTTTTCGATGGTTCGTATTTCTGACTGAAATTGGATCAATCTTAATTTGCTGTAATACATCCGATAAGGATTATCTGAATGTAACCATCATGACATAAATTAGTATAGAATAGATTGACACCTGAAGTGAACGGTACTAATGTTCGAGTCCCGAAATGAATATCAAATATGGGATGTAGGTACATCCGATTAAGGGTTTCCAAATAGAATAAAATACACGTCCTAAATTACATTACCAGTTACATGAACAATAAGGTTTGATGAGAATTAAAACAAACAAACAAACTCTGTATAATCGTTATGTCCCGACGAGAATAATGACTGGTAACTTTGGGGATCCATTTATGGACCAATACTATGTGTATATTTTTATCATATAATTGTTATATAACTAAACTATACATATTCGTGTCCCTCTTATTATAAGCTCTATTTTGATCTATGAATTGTTACTATACGATTTACCATTCTTGAATTATACCCTGTCTGTAAATTATTACATCCCACATACATAGCCACTTTTGGTTGAATTTTGTAGAAATGTTGTTTCATATTTTATGGTACGTTATGGTCTGTCTGGTTGGTATATAAACCCTGTATGTTTGAAAATAAATGATTCGATATTGCAGAGGCTGAAATTGGTGTTCTGGATTTAACTGGCTGGGCTAGGCGGGAAGCAGGATCAATAAGGATGTGTTTTACGCGTCATTGGTCCGATGGATAGCTCACTACTCTCTAATTGGCGGTATCATTACGTTATACATTAATAGAGCATACAGGTCACAAGTTATAACAATAATTTACCCCATCCTTTCATTGCTTGATAAAGTTCTTCAGCATCTTTTTCAGGATTAGTATTTGATTGAAGTTTTAATGTAGGTTGATAAATTTCACCATTTGGACCATATATTTGTAATTTACTTCTTCCCATTATTAGAATTGAGTGTATAGGAACAAACTTGCTAAATAAGAGAATAAGAAAAAAACAAAAATGAAATAAGCATTGATGATAATGTAATAGTTAACTATTTAAAACAACAAGTAGTTGAGATTACAAGTGTCATTACCAAGGACGTTTTACTATTACTGTTTATACGCCACACAAGTCACTTGATTTGTGTGTGGGCTATGATACTATCCGGGTGTTCAAACTGAAGCAGGTGGTTTTCTTAGGAGGCCACATCCGGTGCCTTTGACCTGAAGGTCTGATCCACAAGGCAGTGGAACAACGTCAAGAGATGCAGTCCCATGGTAGCCGTTGACCAACGATTTTTGTTCATACGCCATTTGTTCCTTCAGGATATTGGAGCCCATGTGCATCATTGGTTTGGAATAAGGGTTTTCCAACTCCCCTAGGTCAAGTCTCGGTATCCACTAACCTGGTTAAAGTGTCGGACATTTGCTTTTCATCCTCTAAATTTAGTAAAGAACACTCGTGGTGCGAGAAGGCAGTGAGTAGGACTTCCATGGCAGTGGCTTTATACGTGTGTCCATGTGTGAGCATTTCGAGAGGAAGAGCTGACTCTCCCCACTCTTTTCCATATCACAGCATTCGGATGCAGATTTGCTAAGATGTTCTCTAATTTTCTATTCACACACATTTAATTGTCTCCATTTATGTTCTCATTCACTAAAGTTGTACATTTAAACTTTAGTTCTAATTAAGATCTCAAGAGAATATAACAGAATCTGATATCATCCAATTGGCTTTCTGATGTTCTGATTGGCTATTTGAAGAAAGGAAGTATTGGTTTTGTCATTAATTTGATACTAGATGGTACTAACATTCATAATCAAAACACTGAAAACTGTTTATTCAAGAAAAAAGAATGAGGATAATTAAAATTCATATAAGTGTAAACTATAATTATACCAAATGCACAGTATGAATGGTAACCTCATAGTGCTGAATTCATAAGTATTTGATATAAAATACATTGTCAGAACCGTTTAGCAAGCAGTGTTAAAAGGATAAATGAATTAGATTGATAACAGTTGTAACTTTTAAAGTGTGTACACACTAACAACGAACTCTAGATAGTCATACAACTTCCAATTGAATGAAGTCGTAATGACGAACTCTTGAGCTAATCCGTGTCGGGTAGAGACAGATATCTACCTCAATACGATGGAAGATGGTCGCGCAATCTCGTGGATTGGTTGCGGTTAGACATTAACACCATTGGATGCCGGCTCAGTGATCCAGTAGTTTAAGCGTTCGCACGCGAGACTGAAGGCCCTGGGTTCGAGTCCCGCGAGAGGGATCGTGGATACGCACTGTTGAGGAGTCCCACGATAGGAGGGAACGGTCGTCCATTGCTTCCAGGTTTTCAATGATGGTCTAAAATCAATCGGTTCACGATCTCAACCCGATTCTTGAGATTTTTACGACAAAGCTGAAACGATTTCTAATATTTTCTGATTTTCAATAATCCTCTTGAAGCTGTTGTTATGTAATGAAAATCATATTAATACCATTACATTAAATAAATATTGTTAAACAAGTGGCGATTGTGAAATTTGTATATTATGTAGCTACTTCTCGTGGAGGAGCATGGGCCACCCACCAGAACTCTCCATCCAACCCTGTATTGCCCAATCCTTTCCAGTTGTCATTCATCTTTCTCATTTCTGCTTCTATTTCCCGATGTAATGTGTTCTTTGACATTCTTCTTTTCCGCTTCCCTTCAAGATTCCAAGTTAGGGCTTACCTCGTAATTCAGTTCGGTGATTTCTGTATTGTATGTCCTATCCACTTCCAACGTCTTTTCTTACTTTCCTATTTAGCTAGAAGCTGGTTTGTTCTCTCCAACAGAAGGCTGTTGCTGATGGTATCCAGCCATTGAATGTTGAGTATCATGTGTAGACAAATATTTGTAAATACTTGTACCTTCTTGATGATGGTTGTAGTAGTTCTCGAAGTTTCAGCTCTGTACACTAGAACTGTCTTGACGTTTGTATTGAAGATTGTGACTTTGATATTGGTTGAAATTTGTTTTGAGTTCCATATGTTCTTCAATTGTAGGAATGCTATCCTTGTTTTGCTAATCCTTGCCTTTACGGCAGTATTCGATCCTCCTTTTTCATTGATGATGCTTTCCAAGTTCGTATATATTGAAAACTAAGTACTTTGTGGTCTTATATTTTAACTATTAATAATCATGCTAGTTCAGTCAGTCAGCTACAACGTACGACCAGGCACATATATGCATCGGTCCAGGTTGCCATACCTCATTAACACAACAAGATGGATCACGAATCAGTTGAAGCTAGACCATCGTGGAAAACCTGGAAGCACTGAACGGCCGTTTCGTCCTAATGTGGGACCATTGAAATTACTATAATATTCACAAAAACCCCTTCTGATATGAATCAACATATGCTCATTAGTGACTGGCTTCAAGAGGTATATCCTGGAGTTCTAATGAGAAGTAATGACCAGTGGAGTTCAACCAGGTTTATTGTGAGATAGTAACTCATTGAAGACAATCGTGGATGTGTCGCTCAATTTCGTGGATTCGTTGAAGTTAGACATTAACACCGTCGGATGCCGGATCAGTGATTGCGTGCGAAACCAGTAGGCCCTGGGTTCGAATATCGCAGGGGGCGATGGACACCGGATTCATAAATGTAGTTAATATAATGATCTAGAAGTTAAGTATCCGCGCACCATACCGAATATCTTGGTTTAAATACCTACTAGTGAGGTCATAGATGTGCACTATTCAAGAGTCTATGCTAGAATGATATGACTATCTTACGTTTCTTGATTTCGATGATTATCTAACTTAAATCCAATCATGATCAAATCAAGATTTGATACCATTCATTTGATTCTAATTGGCTATTTGAAGAAAGGAAGGGTCGGTGTTGTTTATTGATTACATAATAAACACATCAATGTAGATATTTGAAATAAGAGCGTAGGCAAATGAATAGTAAATATTTATTTTAATTATTATCGAATTTCACATATTTTGATGTTATTTGCACAATTAAATGGTAATTCAATGTTTCTATGCCATAATGTTTTCTTTCTTCTGGCATAAACAAGATATGTACATATGCAACTATTGTAAATGGATTGAAATACTTGTTTAAACATGTATTTTCGCACAATTAATATCTTAATAGTTATGTGTAGTGTATACTACTGATATCAATAGATATAAGTAGTATGTGTATCATTAATCGAAAGTGAAATGCATGAAGGCAGATGGTTAAGAAGATTGAAGAAAAGAGAATGAATACAAAGAATAATTACTGTGGAAACGAAGTAATAATGAAGTCTGAAATGATTGATTGAGTTTAGTGGAGTTTTGTTCTTTGAGTTGGATGGTAAGGGATAGGGACAAAACTCCACCACAATCATTCATTTGAGTTACAAATCTTCTCCACCATATTACAATGAAGTATTCATTATATGGTTCTTAGGTTTTACAAAGTATTTATTTATTTATTTAAATACGTAAACATTAGTACAAAGAGGCACGAAAATATATATGATTTGTGTGCAGGCTGGAACACTACCCGGGTGTTCAAACTGAAGCAGGTGGTCTTCTTAGGGTGCCACACTCCAAAAACTTGACCTAAATGTCTAATACACAAGGCAGTAGAACAACGTCAGGAGATGCAGTTCCATGGTAACCTGTGACTAATAATAGGTTCATACACCATGAGTTTCCTCAGAATACTGGAGTCCATGTGAATCATTGGTTTGGAATGAGGGTTTTCCAACTCCCCTAGGTGGACTATCCATATCCACCAGCCTGGTTAAAGTGTCGGACATTCGCTTTTCGCCCTTTCAATTTCGTAAACAACACCCGTGGTGCGAGAAGGCAATAAGTAGGACTTCCCTGGCAGAGGCTTTACACGTGTGGCCATGTGAGAGCATTTCGAAAGGGACAGTTGACTCTTCCTACTCTCGGCCGTACCAAAGCATTGGGGGGTACGATCCAGTATATAACTAGTAGTACTATTCATCTAAGATTCATGTAAGAATAAGTAGAACACTTAATTGATTTTATTCATAATGTTCTTTATAAGTCTTTGACAAATTTTATTGTTCTCGATTGCAAAAAAAGAAAAATTCCCAGACCATAATCTTTATCCCATAAAAACGTTACGATCATTTTTTGTTTAATTATTAGCCTTGACCTTGAAATAATCTTAAAATTGGTCAGTTTACTCCTATACTTAAACTCTAAAATTAAGATTATTTATAAATAAGTAAAACTTGAAGATTTCTCCTAGTACTATCATGGATTAAACTTTGAATCAGTCAGCTACAACGTAGGATCAGACACATACATACATAGGTCCAAGTTGTCATACCTCATTGGCACAACAAGATGAACACTGGATTCATAGAAGTCGTCATTTCGATGGTGGTAATATATAGAAGAAAGATCGCATATAAGGATATAGTACAGAAAGAAAGATTTAGTTCGTAGAAAGAATGATATGGAGCGATTTTAATCTCATCTTTTAAGGGAAGACAGAGAGTGTATACACCGACGTTTATTGTGATCGATTCTGAGCCATGTTACCAAGAATCTTGAAACATCGACTTCGATAGGTTGGACATATACTTCACTAGTCAGTCAGTCAGTCGGCTACAACGTAGGATCAGGCACATATATGCATCGGTTCAACTTGCCATATCCCATTAACACAACAAGATGAACACCGGATTCATGAAAAAAGTTAATTCAGTGGTGATAATATATAAAAGAAAGATCGCATATAAGGATATAGTACAGAAAGAAAGAATTAGTTCATAGAAAGATATGAAGCGATTTTAATCTCTTAGTTTACGGGAAGACAGAGTGTGTATACACCTACTCCATTGTGATGGATTCTGAGCCATGTCACCAAGAGTCTCTAACCATTGGTTACGATAGTCACGCAGATCCCAACCAAGTAGTCTGCATCTCCCAATATGGTTAAGATTAGAAGTTAGTGACTTTGTAGATGGATGCCACGTTTGGTTTGGCCATCCCCCTAACCTTCTTCCAACTATTCCTAACACTAGTCATCATTGTATGTCGTGGTAATCGGTGTTTAGGCATACATGACATGTGGCCTTTAAGTGATTCATAGTTGAGATTACTTTTACAACCATGATAATTTGACGAAACGATGGTTATAAAATGGACTGTTTTTAGGGGAAAAAAATGGATAGATCGAAGAAATTTCTTTCTTATTTTTTCATTATGGCTTTACAGTAATATATAATTCACAATAATTAAACAATAGTCATAGAGTATTTAATTGAGCTCATGAAGCGACTGATGTAAGACCACCATTGAAAACCTGAAAGCACTAGACAACCGTTTCGTCTTATTGTTGAACTCCTCAGTAGTGCACATCCACGATCCCGCTTGAGGGAGCAATTACTTGACGGATTTTTATAAGATGGATTTTTGGTAGATTAGCCTATTCTATTTCATTTCTAAGTGAATTAAATTCTGATTATTAGTGCTGACATAAAGAACATAGTTGTTTAGTTTGTAGAGACTAGATGAAAGATTAAATTGAACTGAGATGATGGTATATCCAACTGACGAGTCCCAAATAGAACGAAACGTGATTCATGGATTCCACTGCTAGCCACTATCCATCTTTGTATGTAATGCTTTTGACTTACGACAATATCAATACAATCCGCATAGGATGTATATATGCCAATAAGAGACTGGTCAATTGATAAGATACATCCACGATCCCGCACCACGCGGAGCTCGAACCCAGGACCTACTGCCCTCGCACGCGAGCACTTAACCATTAGACCACTGAGCCGGCACCTAACGGTGTTAATGTCTAACTTCAACCAATCCACGAAGTTGCGCCACCATATACCATTGTGGATGCGCACTGCTGAGGAGTCCCATACTAGGACGAAACGGCCGTCCAGTGCTTCCAGGTTTTCAATAGTGGTCTAGCTTCAACTGACTCATGATTTCAATCTGTGAAAATTTCTAAAAATCTCCACAAACCCCTTCTGATAAGATACAAGCAAATCATACTAAGTGAAAATATATGCATATTTGCAAAATAACAAATCAACCAAATTAATTCGGAAGTCAATGATAACAATGAAATAGAATACGTGATTCATCATCATAATTGACAAGTACACGTTGATGGTGAATAACAAATGTGTTCATTGTGAATGAATAGTATGATAGTATGTGTGAATGAATCCACTTACATAATAAGTAGGTCAAAGTTTAAAGAAACAACACAATCAATTTATGCATATAAATGTTAAAGAAGAGAAAAGCAACTAACAAAGAATAGATATAATTGATCATTATTGTCTGTTAGGTTTGATTTCTGATAAAGAAGACACGATAAAGACATTAAGAACCTTTTTGTGAATACAAAATCTAATGTTGTCAGCTTGAATCTTTATAGCTTCTGTCTTAAGTAGGTGACTATCGTAACCAATAGTTGGAGACTGTGGGTGATATATGGCTCAGAATTGACCACAATTGAGTAGGTGTATACACTCTCTATCTTCCTTATATGTAATCTTTCTTTTATATATTACCACCATTAAGTTAACGAAGTCTATGAATGTGGTGTTCATCTTGGTGTGCTAATGAGGTATGGAAACTTGGACCATTACCATATATATATATATATATATATATATATATATATATATATATATATCCCTGGTCCTACGTTGTAGCTGACTGACTGACTGACAGACATAGCACATTTTCTCCAGCTAGGGCATTTGGAAGGGAGCCTATATGTTTATAACACTCGATTTGATATTCAATTACAACTATTTATTTCATTTCAATTTTTAATTCAACAAAAATTATACTTTAACTTCATTATTTCAATGAAAGACTAGTAAATATATCCCAGGGTACATAATATCTTTGAGTAAACAAACATTACGTCTACGACTAATATTCTGTTCAAACTCAAGTTTATGTCACTTGTACGAAATTAAGTGAATCTTACAAGTGGAAGACTCTCTCTGTGTCGTTCTCTGTTGAGTCGGCTTCCGAGAATTACAATGGATCCTCCAGAGGCCCTAAAGGAACTGAAGACTTCCAACCAATCAGAACATGATGGAGCTTTCTAGATTATCAACGTGGCATGCTATTATTGTTCAGAAGCATAATATGTCTCTTAGTGGATTAGCCGAAATATAATGTTGATTTAACAAATGCTAATATCTATAAACACCCGTGATTTTCTGTACACTTTGATTCTGACCAAATAAACACTTCTCCAGTTTTTCTTCTGTGTTCTGATTTGCGACAGTGAAGATCAACGTTCAAGTCTCGTGGTCCTAAACCGTATTCTGAGTGAATCAAGTAATGAATTTAACACTCTCGCTTTCTAGATTTGGTATTTACTTTCGAAATAAATATCATCCTCAATTGGAAATTATGATTTAATTTACTTTTTGAACAAGTTCTGTTTAATGTTTTGTTCATACTTTTAGATAAGAACATGATAGTTGATTTGGGATATAACTAATTAATGAGTTCTAAATGAGAGAGGACAATGATTAACCTCAAAATAACTAATTGGTCTATGGCCTCTAAATGCCCTGCTACAGCTGAGAGTGCTCTCAAGTGGCCACGTACATACAACCACTGCCAAAGAAGTCCTACTCACTGCCTTCCCGCACCACGGCTGTTGTTTATGAAATTGAGAGGATGAAAAGCGAATGTCCGGTGCTTTAACCGGGTTGTTGGTTATGAAGTATCTACTTATCGGAGTTGGAAAACACTTATTTCAAACCAATAGTGCACATGGGCTCCAGGATCCTAAGGAAACAAATGGTGTATGAGCCTATTATTAGTCACAGGTTACCATGGGACTGCATCTCCTGACGTTGTTCTACTGCTTTGTGTATTAGACATTTGGATCAAATTTTCGGAATGTGGCACTCTATGAAGATCACCTGCTTCGGTTTGAGCACCCGGGTAGTATCCCATCCCGCACACAAATCAAATAATTTATGTGGCGCATATATATTTTGGTGCCTCCTTGTACTAATGTTTATGTATTTAAATAAATGAATACTATAAATAGACGATTCTCTATAAGAATGGAATGGGAATTCGGTTATTTTCATAAATGTTGATCTCTATTTTATTTAAAAGGGTTCATATTTTTCTGTTGAATAAGTTAGTGGTTACATGAACTCTATAGTTAAGTAGTTAACGCATTGATTTGTAATAAAAGGTACCAGATTTGAGCATCAACGTTGAGATTTAGGTTTATCCAATTGATATATCTCAAGAAGAATGAAGTTTCACTACTAGTTACAAGTATACTGTAATGAACGAAAATATTTGTAATTTAATACTTGAATTACTGAGTCGATTAAAGCAAGACCAACATGGAGAACTTGGATACACTAGACAGCCATTTCATCCTAGTATGGAACTCCTCAGTAATGTGTATCCACGATCGCACCCATGGGATTAGAACCCAGAACCTTCGGTCTCACTGAAGAAAATGGTGGACGGTGGTGCAATTTCATGGATTGATTGAAGTTAGACATTAATACCGTTGAACACCTGCTCAATGGCCTAGGGATCAAACTTCCACGTGCGAGGAGTCCCATACTGATACGAAATAGTTATCCAGTGCTTTCAGCTTTTCCATGGTGTTCTAGCTTTAATCGATTCATGAATCTAACTATTGAATTAACACAATCTCCACAAAACCCCTTTCTGATAATAACATTTTTGTGTACATAGTTGATTGTTGTTGCACACAAGCCAGTTTTGATAAAAGAACAATCACTATAGTATTCTTAAATTACAAAACAATTTATTATTTCAATTAAATAATTTGACAGACTACTGAAGTCATGGTGGGGTTTGAAAATTAGGTGAAACTATAATTTGTGAACAAACCAATCAGATTTAGGATAACAAGTCTTGGATTTTGGTGCGAAATTCATTTAACTATTTAGTTAAATGCTGTTTTGGCATTATATCTGATGTCAGTTCGTGGTAAAAAAAATAAAATCCTAAATCTAATTTCTAACCCTAATCATCAACTGTAAATAATAATTCTTATTACTCAAACAGGTTTGTAACCCTCATTGGATCTTAGTTATTAAGTGGGGACTCTCAAAGTCACTTCAGAATCGCTCAAAAGTCGTCCATAAATTATAGTCTCACCGAAAATTACTGTTAGCTTAAACCCAGTTGGAAGTTCAAAAGTCAATAAAATTGATAATGACGCATTTAGGTTAATTACTATGCAGCTATATACATTGTAACCTATGTAACTTATAATACAAACAAAATCACCACTCACAAAAACGAAACCTATTAAGAACAACAACCAACCTTGTGCGATAAAACTGAAGCCCAGATACGTTATCTCAATCAAAATCGTGATTTTATATTGAATATATGAATTAAGAAATATGCCAACCAATGAAATTTGTCTTCTATCAAATCTACCAATGAAATTATTTTGATTTGTGATTGGTTAATAATACACTAACATTCTATTGGTTAATTAATATAATCACACTTGATTTGATTGTATATTACAGTAGCAAAAAGCGTTAGTCTACTATCATCTCAGATCTTTATTTATTCTGATCTTTGCAGTTAAACAAAAAACAACTCTGTACCACATAAAAAATAAACAGTCTCTCTATTTTGGTGAAACTTAGGGGGATTTTAGGTAAATTTTGGTGTTTCCCCCAAAGTTGTAAGATATTTGGTAGTTTTCCCCAAAGTTTGCGGAAATTTTGGGAAAATGGCACTAGAATCCAGAAATTTCCCCAAAGCATTCTATTACAGCTTCATCAAAATTTACCCAAAACAAACAAATTTGTACCAAATTAAAGATATTGGAGATTGTACTTGATATCAAGTGCAAAAATAACAACTATTTAAGATAAAAAAGGTTTATTTACTCTGTTAGTCAAAATAAGTCCTTGTAACCATACTTTTATGGTGTGAATTTTCAATAATATAAAGGAAGTCGTAACAAATTTACTTAGTATTGTTTGCTTGAATCTTCCCATTAAGGTCCTAGACTTCAATCAATCAGTCTGTTATTGGCATATGCGCATACTGTGCGTACTGCCTGGACATTGCCTTAATTCACGAGAGAATGGAACTAGGTTCGAGTCCCGGAGTGAACATCAACTCTGAGATGCAGGAACATTCAGCTGATGGTGTAGAATTATGGTCTACTATGATATTAGTACTGCTCTAATAATAGACCTAATCCTAAAATTGTAGATTTGTCATGATATAACTGCCTAATCTATAAGATCTTACGTGGAAGTCACACCATTGACTACACCAACTCACTGTATCGTATCAATTACCAATACATGCTGTTGAACAAGGTTAGGCTAGAGAAAGAACAATATATTTAATATGAATAGGAGATATAAGATAACATCCAGCAGGGACCACGCCTGCATGGCCGAGCCATGCCACTCGATCAACTCAGTCCATTCAATTCATTCTCTGCGCCTTCTCCATTGTTAGGTATTTCCCCGAGTTAAATATTGAATATCTATTTTCTGAGTAGTCTCGTGTTCACAGCTTTGTGGCTTGTGTGGCTATTGTCCAGTGCCACTACAATGGGTCCCAACTGGGACGAAACGCGCGTCCTGGATCCCACTGCTAGCCACTATCCATCATTGATTGTCGAATTAGAACTAATCCCAGTAAGTCTCGAACCTCAACAAGACAAATCAAGAATTCAGTTTCGAAGGACTCAGCGTGAAATTGTATTGTATTATTATGGTAGATTTAAACATAACATAAAATTTTTGATGGTACAGAAAACACATCGGTTATTCACCACAACACGTTATCATTTCTGATTATGAAGATTGCTTGAAACAGAAACGAAGTGAACTAAACAATAAAAGATGAAAAAAATGAGGCAAGGTTGTTCTAAAACTATAACATTATTGAAAATTAAAAATAAAATTTGAATTCAATGTCATTTTACTACTTATGGATCTAAGCATCCGAATGTTTATTTAGATAATCGACAAGTGGACACCAGATGGAGATTCTAAAGTCAATTTTGAGCAAATATATGACCGACTATCTGAGTTATAACTCTCCCTGTAGCTTTACTATGGCTACTTTCAGTCCTAAGCTCGGATAAATGTTGAAAACTGAATATGTTACCAGCAACCTTAGCCCATAAGAAATAACCTTGCAAAAATCCCTAACTAGAATAAACAATTTAATCCATTTAAACTCTGCCCTAGGGGCTCCAGGATATTCACTAAAAATAATTATTGCGCCTCACGGTGAAAGTCGAGATTCTTCGGAAGTTACGAGGCCTATAGCTCTTCTAATTAGCAGAGCAACAATTAGTATGGTACATGGATTGTCCGGACAATGCGGGAGAGCGATAAAACCAGTCGAATAGGTGCGAAAATGAGGAGATACAACTTGACGGTGTTCAAGATTATCGAAACACAGTGGACCCAAGCAGAACAAAAACGTTAGATTCGGGAAAGATGTTTCTGTACTCTGATTACGAAGGGAAAAATGTCCCACACACTCAGGGAGTTGCTCTAATACTGTTCAAAGAAGCAAAAACGTACTTTTAGAATGAGCATCTCATGGTTCCAAGATCATGAAAGCATCTTTCAAAGAAAATAGCAAGGAAATCATAATTTTATCTGATGTCATGCACCCACCAATGATAAAAATGACAACAATAAAGATCAGTTCTACTTGAGACTGCAATCAAACATAGCGACGAGCTCAGGAAAAAACTCAACAAGTTTGATGTGTGACCTAAAATCTAAAGTCAGAATGGACAACACTGAGTATGAAGATATAATGGGACGACATGGATTAAGAGAGAGGAATAAGAACGAAGAAAGATTTGTTACTTTATGTGTATTCAACTGATTGGTTATAGGCGGCACAATATCCCCTCCCATAAATGCATATACAAAACTACATGGGTCACACCGGATCACACTGCAGAGAATCAGGTCGATCACCTCCGTATCACTAAAAAAATTCGCAAGGCCAATAAAAAACGTGGGAATCAAGAGAGGGGCTAACATAGCTTCAGATTACCACCTCATGGCTGCCATGATGACGCTGAAGCTAAAGAAGCATTGGACAACTGGACAGACAACAGTACAAAAGTTCAATACAGAATGCCTCCGAAATACTGACAAACTCAACGAAATCAAGATTACTCTCAACAACAGATCCCAAGCCTTGCAATGTCTACTCGCAGAAGACGAAACTACCATGGAGAAAAAATGGGAAGGGATCAAGGAATCACTAACCTCAACGTAACAAGAAATGCTGGTCTGCAAAAGCGTCATCACAAGCAACGGATCTATATCGAAACCGTAGGCAAGATTCACAAAAGCAAGAACAATAAAACAGCAATTAACAACAGCCGAACAAGAACAGAGTAAGTCAATGCACAAGCTTAATACACAGAAGCAAACAAGCAAGTGAAGAGGGGCATTAGGGCCTGATATGCAGTAGTACGTAGAAAACCTAGGAAGGACAGAGAATAAAGTTTCAAGAGAAGAAAATATTAAACCAACGAATAAACTGACACGGAAATATGGTAAACCAGAATTATCAATCAAGTACAAAGAAGGCAAGACAATCACCGATATTCAAAAACCAGAGAAGAGTGGAACGCTTTAAGGAACTCTTGAGTAGACCAGCTTCACCGGATCCCCAAGACTTAGATGCAGCACACATAGACCTTCCTATCGACGTCACTCCATCAACGATCGAAGGAATGAGGATGACCATCAGACACATTGAGAATGATAAATCAGAAGGACCTGACAACATACCAGCTGAAGCAATGAAGTCAGATACATAGGTATTTGCAAACATGCTCCACATCCTGCTCAGGAAGATTTGAGAGTAGAAACAAGTGCCGACGGATTGAAAAAAAGACACCCATCAAGGTATCAAAATAAAGGAGGCCTCACTATCAAGTCACTCCTAGTAGGTCTTTTGATCAATGTGATAAATATGTTTTAAATAAAGACACATCACTTGCATCTTTAGGACATGAAGATCCGACGTTACTTCGAGTGGGTGGACAGGGTTGTAAAATCTGTAGTGGTATTGGTCATAACCACACAATCCTCAAAGCTAAACGTGAGATAACTAGGAAGTAAAATATATAACATTTAACTCAAAGAGAGGGCCAACAAGGAAGAGGGTGGGAATATTTCATCACTCAATCAGATGGCTTGGTTTAGCCTTGTAGGCATGATCATTCTTGCGTAATTTATCTCTTCTGTTCATGTTAAATATATTGTTGTACCTCCAGCCTAGGTGTGTTCTTTAGGAACGCCAAACATATTCTTGACTCTTGCGATACAACGAGTAAGAATAGACAATGATGTGACTTTCATGTAAAATCTTATAAATTAGTTTTTCATATCATGGCAATACTACAATTTCAGGATTAGGTCTATAATTAAAATAGTTCTAACAACGAACCTAGACCATAATCCTGCGAATCTATGGTCCGAATTCTAGAGATCAGTGATTTAAATATACACAACCGACATGTTGATCAGATACAATTCCGGGAACCAAATGAGTCTGTTCCAATTTTGGCTATTGATCCTGATACTAATGACTACATTCTAGATCATACAGAGTCTACATCCCATACACAGTTGGACAGACAAGCGGTGAACCTAAGCAGAAGAGGTACAATCGACTAAAGAAATTTGGATCCCCATTTAAGCTGTGACAGTTGTGGTATTTATACGAACGAATAACTATTTCGTACTTGGTTGCCCGCTGATTACGAATCCCAAATATAATACGTCCATTTATGTTCATCTTATTCTACCTTCCTTAAATAACACTATTTCTGGAATGCATTTATCAGTATTGAAATTAATAATCGAAAGTGCAACGGACTCACCTGGCTCCTGGAATTGTATCTGGTCAACATGTCGGTTGTGTGCACTTAAATAATTGATATCTAGAATTGAAACTATGGACTTTCCTACATTCTTCACCATAAACTCAGTGGCTCTTCCAAGATTATTTCCACGACAATGTATAACTTCCGTAGACTCTAAACACTTCATATTCGAATGAAAAATCCTACCTTTTAATAACTTCTACAGAGTTTCTTTCGCTACAAAATGTTTAGCATTTCTATATTTCAATAGAAATATGTACACTCCCTTCTCCAGTTCATAGAATGCTGAAGCAGTAATGGAATTAATGGCAGTTTCCGGTGTTTGGCAAAATAATCTGTTTGACTATTGAAGCGATGGTGCATAAGACCAGTGAATAGATGCCTGTACTTTTTATTCTTCATCTAGGTAGTGACTGTGTCTGCAGAAGATTAAGAACTATTATCAATCACTAGAAACATTGGGACCCCCACCAAACCAAAAACTACTAATTCTTCGGTTGTGAGGTCAGAATTTTGTGAAGTTTTGAAACAAACGCATGATATTTGCCGAGAAACGGACCACGATAGTCTGCATGAACTCTGCCAAGCCTCAGACGACACTGGCTACAGAGTACACTTTGAAGGATGACTTTTCGACTTATGACATCCTCTACAACCGTTTACTGTACGACATTTATCTCCGACCACCAACATTTGAACTTTGCCAAGGATATCACTTTCTCAACACCTATATGTTCGCCACGAAGATTTTTAAGGACAGAGTTACATAATGAAGGAGCAGCAAAACACGATCGTTTGAACACAAAACATTATCAGGAGTAGACAAGAAATCTGCGTTGCAGATTGACATTCCAACCTTTTAGTAAGGCACTGAGTGTATATCCAAAATACTTACGAATTCCTCTAATGATATCTGGATGTCTCACGGGTAAAGCCTGCGCTAACAAACAGTCTTCAGTTTTAGTAGGTTTATGTTGTGATGATTGTCGAGGAATGTAGTCAACATGTTGAATTTGTTTGACACTTCTGTCCTGAATCGTCCAATCATATATACTCTAAAAAAATACTCCACCGTTGAACCATAGCAACTGTGAAGAATGTGTCAAGAATTTTTCAGGACGACAAACGTGTACAGTTACAGACCGTTTTCGGTATCCATTATTAACTAGTTAGTACATTTGTGCATAAGGAGAAGCTATTGTATCTTTTATTAGTGTTGCTTTAGCTCCGCTTCGGAGCATCTGGCCTCATATCATCTATTTTTCCAGTCATCATTTTCATTTACAAGCACATTATTGTAAAGTTATCTATTTCTCTAAAACCCTTCCTCTTTTAATTCGCATTGCTCTTCTTGTCATCTGCTTGAAACACAACAACCACCTAATGACGTGACAGCTACTGATTCCGGTGATTTCATGGGCTCTGATAAATGTAATTAGCATCAAAATATGACAACCCTTATTAACTCTCATATTCAGTAAGATTATTGTAAACGGTGGCTGAATTTATCGTATCTTAATATATGTAACATATGCAACCGCCTTGTATTGTTAAGACAAGAACACAAAACCATAAACTACTTTGCAATAGACATTCGCGAAGTTATTCAAGTAGTTACAACCTTGCTAACAAAACAATAGCCTCGACCTCTTATCCCGTGCTTTGAATACTAATTCAAACTACTTTCCTCCTGATTACCATTAAAATATGTCGAATTCCAAAGAACTAGCACAACAGTTTTAACTGTTCTAAATTTAAGGCCACAATCGGTACAAAAATTTGAAAGTATGGTTGTGACGTATAATTCGCGAAATCCAGGTTAGTCTGTTATTATTTATCAGTTTTATGTTCTTAGCTGTCAAACGGTTGATGAAAGAAGCACAAGAACTATCAGAGCCCACAGAACTATACTTTGCGAAACCTCTAGAGGTTCGACTCTATATTTTCTAGTATAATTCTTAGGATAATCTGTTTGAGTGGCACTTCACGATAAGAGGTCCTGAAGATTCTGACTTTCAGGGAGGTTTATACCATGGAAGAATTCTTCTGCCTTCAGAATACCCAATGAAGCCTCCAAATATCGTATTGTTAACTGTAAGTATCCCTAAACTGTCGTTTACTTCCACGTTTGTTTTAGATGCTCCAAGTGACTGCAAAACTATGTTTACTCTACATTCTAGTGTTTCAAGGTTTAAGTGTACGGCCACTGGGTTTGCTTTTAAAACCACATGCATGTATAAGCTAATTCAATCTCAACGAGTCTATAAGTAGCATATCAATAAACAGAAACGCTCTGGTTGTGGCTGCTAAACCTTCAGACAGTATAGCTGTTGATCTCCAGTTTGTCGGTCACTTAGTCTATCTGCTGAACTAGCTAAATTCGACATGAAATTTTTTTACAACTATGTACTGCTAGTTGTAGTACCCATCTTAAGAACATGCTCAATTTATGTTTTAATCATTTTTATGTAAGTCTAATACCCGTTATCCTTAGATTACTTGACTTCCATCATGCTACACAAATTGTATAAAATCTGAATCGCAGAATGTTCGAGTTTTGGTGAGATTGTAGGTTCTTTAATTATATTATTCCCTACCTGTGAGTATGCAGATACTATATTTCTCTCTATTCCCTAAAAACATCAATAGTTACATATAGTTCATTACTTCTATTTTGTCTTCGCAAGAATTTGAGCAGTAACTTTGGAGAGAGTACGTCTTGTTGACCTAAATTTGTCTTAAATAGCCGTAAGCCAGAAAATGGTCTTGGGACTAAGTCATACCGTTAAACATACTAAAGTTTGATAACAGTAGGGTATTCAACACGGATAACTAGTACCTCCAGTGGTTTTTTCTTAGAGTGAAGGAATCAATAGATGGTCGATCCAAAAATTTTCACAACTCACCTTGTTCCACGAATTTGTAGTGTTGATGATAAGCCTGTAAAAGTATGAAGCTTGCACATCGAAATCTACCTACAAAACCACTCTACTACCAGTTCCAAGCAGTTTTACCTTGGGCACTGCGATCATGCTTCCGTGTCATCAGAACCACTATCAACCCGGTAGTTATGTTACTGGGGGCAGTTTGTTATTTAAACTATGAAGTTTAACAATTTCCACGACATATCATGGTAAAAATGGGTTAAGTTATCGCAACATTACTTATACTCAACAGCAGCACCATGTAAATGACGTTGAAGTTCAACAACTCGTAGTTGGACTTAAGGGGAACCACTCGTCAATCATTCAAATCGTTTCAAAACATGTACTTTGGTGGCCTGGAAACGTTTCTTGGGTGACTTCTCAGTAGCTCTCATCATCAAACACCGATTTTTGACGACACAACTCAGTTGAAAATGTAAATATACAGTTAATTAATAGTGTAGCATTGTAACAAATAATTTTGTCGAACCGACATTTTTTAGCTCGAATAACAGCCTTATTTGGATTATAAAGTATATAGCTCATAGTAGAGGCTAGTAGAGACCGTGTTGTAATTTAATCTTGCGTTTTTTCAACACGATAAATCGTAAAAATAAAATGAATGCTTTTATTTAAACTATTTCTTTTGGTATTATTTTGAGTTTCGCTCTTTATTTCCTCACATTATTGTTTTATCTCCTGTGATACATTCCTTGATATATTATTTTATCAAGCATTTCTTGTTACGATAGCATCGCGGTTCTCTTAATTACATGTAAGATTTTCCTAAATATTTATTGGCACACCATTTTTTCTCTTCAGCCAAATGGACGTTTCGAAATACATCGAAAAATATGTTTAAGTATTTCAGGATATCATCCTGAATCATGGAGACCATCATGGTCTATTCGTACTGCATTGTTAGCATTGATTGGATTCATGCCTACTCATGGTGTCGGTGCAATCGGCTCACTTAATCAACCAAAAGAAGAACGTCAATTATTAGCTCGCAAGTGTGTAACGTTCTTTTGCTCATTTGCCAAGTTAATCTTACGTTTGTTATTGTGTGTAAGATAATTTGCATTGGTTGCTTGCCTCATCAAATATTAATGATCTCAAGCAATTTTCTTTTGGGCTCTTCACTCATTTATTTTTATTTATTTGGACACATGAATATTGGTACAGGAGAGCGCCAATATATATGCGCCACACAAAACAATGGGAATTCGAAGAGAAGTAGAAAGAAGAAGAAAAAAAAACTAAGGAACGCAAAAGAAAAGAGAACAATGACGAAGAGATTGGAGTAAGGTAGTGTGGTAGTAACGACGGAACGAAAAGGTACAATCAGAAGAAATCTTTCAGGTAAAGGAGACACAACCACTTTTTATGAAGAAAGTAAAAGAAGGTTACAGCAGGATCGCCACTGGCTTCTATTCTGAGCCATATCTGATAACGTCTCTAGCCACTGTGTAGCACCATCTCTCAGACCCCAACCAGGGAGTCGTGAAGGACCAACACAAGCCAGTCCTTTGCAGCTTTCTTTCATGCCACGACACTATGTCATGCACTGACCACCTCTCCGCTTCTTCCAACCAGTCCCAGAGTCGGCAAATAATGCACGACGTGGAATTCTCTGGGACGACATTCGGAGAACATGTCCAAGCCACCGAAGTCGGTGCTTCAAGGTGATGACACCAATTAAATTATCGTCTCCGTGCCCGAACACACGATGCCGAACCTCTGCATTATTAACATGATGTTGCTACTGGATGTCAGCAATCCTTCGGAGACAGCGATGATCGAACACAGAGAGTCGTCTAACGTCCTCAACTCGGAGAGGACAGGTTTCACAAGCATAGAGCAAAACTGCTCTCACCGACGCGTTGTAGATCCGGCCTTTTACAGCCAGACTAACATCACGAAGGTGCCATAGATGGCCCAGATTGGCATAAGCCGCTCTGGCTTTCACTATTCGTGCATTGATCTCATCACTCACACCCCCACCAGCACTTATGCAGCTACCCAGATACACGAACTTCTCGACTACGTCTATCTGCTCACCATCCAGGGTGAGTACAGGATTGGAATCCTGCCAGTCTTGTAGAAGTACTTTGCACTTCGAAGATGCAAAGCACATACCATACCTACGGACACTGATTGCCAACTGATTAAGTGCGGATTGCATGCCTTGGGCATTATCGCACAGTAAGACAATATCGTCCGCATACTCAAGGTCGAGAAGTCTTTCTCCAGGCAACAGATCCACACCACCATTACTTACATTCATCAGAGCTGTTTCCAGAATGTCATCGATGGCAAAGTTGAAGAGGAATGGTGAGATTGGGCAACCCTGCCTAACCCCACTGCTCGAATGGAACAATGGAGAGAGGTGGTTGTATGCCCTCACTCTGCCTGAGGTGTTTTTATATAGGGCCCTTAAAATGTTAATAAACTTCTCAGGCACACCCTTCTTCAATAGACAATCCCAGAGAACAGTTCTGTCCAACAAATCGAAGGCAGCCCTGATGTCAAGAAACACTACGATTGTTGGCCTTTGATAAGTATGGCGGTGTTCTAACATTTGGCGGAGGGTGAAGATATGATCAATACATCCTCGACCAGAACGAAAACCAGCCTGCTCCTCGCGAGTCAATCTTTCTCGGGTTTTGAACAACCTACGAAGTATGACGGAAGCCAATAGCTTGGACGCAATCGGAAGTAGACTTACCCCCCGATAGTTGTTGCAGGAACGACGTGAACCCTTTCTAAAGATAGGGACAACTATCGACTCATTCCATGACGTTGGCACACTCTCTAGTTCCCAAACCTTTGTAAACAACGTCGTCAATTCCTTAGTCAAAAAGTCACCACCATCTTTAAAAGGAGCCGGAGGTAAGTCATCTGGGCCAGGTGATTTGTAACGCTTCAAGAGTTGGAGTTCCTTGCGGACTTCCTCCTCGTTTGGTGGATCAGTCGTCACCGGCCATGGAGGGCAGGACGGTCTGACTGATGTTGCCGGAGCAGCAGGCCAGTTGAACTGCCCTTCGAAAAATTCTGCCCACCGTCCAAGACGTCGATGGATGTTAGTGATTGGCATCCCATCATCCTCGCAGATTGTTTCACTCACACCAGACTTCTTGCTGCCAGTGGCTCGGATGAGCTGGAAGAGCTTCCGGTAATTACCAGATGCAGCTGCTGCTTCCAGCTCATTAGCACGCTTCGACCACCAGGCTTCTCGGTCCTTACGCAAGCTTTGCCCAATTTCCTCACGTAACATCCTTCGTTTATGGTCAAACTCACGGTCACCCGGAGTAGACCGACGGGCTTCAGTGAGTTGTAAGGAACCAGAAGAAACCCAGTGCTTAAAAGCAGGACGTTTCTTAAACCCACAACTGACTGTTCCCGCCATTTTCATGGCGTCATGCAATTGCAACCAATGCTCATCTATACTTTTCGGCGGAGTGGTAGCTAGCCTAGAGGCTAGCTCGGTTCGATACTTATTTGCAACAGAAGTTGCAACCAGCTTGCTAACATCAATCTTTTGGTGGTGGTCACTTCGTTGGCCACTGAAAAGTAAGGCAAGATTGGCGCAGACCAAGGCATAGTCAGAGTCCAGATAGGTACTCCAAAAGGAGCGGCAGTCTTCTACACAACCACGCCAGCGGTAGCTGATCGCGATGTGATCAATCTGAGTCCAGGCTTGAGATGCAGAGGGAGGACGCCAGGTGGCACATCGGCGATGACTGTGCCGAAAGTTAGTGCTAGCCAGAAACAGGT